TTGGCAAGTGGGTAGTGTTTCAACTCGGTCCTCTACTCACCCTCGGCCTCCCGAAAGTTCTCGAAGAACTCCTCATCCATACTTTTCGTCTTCCTGCTTTACTCGTGCAATCCGATTACCAGCGGCTCTACGATTTCTTCTACGAGTCGTCCAGATTCGTTCTAGATGAAGCCGAGAAATTGGGCATCTCGCGAGAAGAAGGGTGCCACAATCTCTTATTCGCCACGTGCTTTAATTTTTTCGGCGGGATGAGGATCCTCTTCTCCAATATGATGAAGTTGATCGGCAAGGCAGGGGTGAAGCTCCAGGTGGAGCTGGCGCAGGAGATCAGATCGGCGATCAAATCAAACGGCGGGAAAGTAACGATGGCGGCCATGGAACAGATGCCGTTGATGAAATCAGTGGTGTACGAAGCGCTCCGCATTGAACCGGCGGTGCCGCTGCAGTACGGGAGGGCGAAGCGGGACTTGTTGATCGAGAGTCACGACGCCTTGTTTGAAGTGAAGGAAGGGGAGCTTCTATTCGGCTACCAACCCTTTGCAACAAAGGACCCGAAAATATTCGACAGACCCGAAGAGTTCGTCGGAAATCGTTTCGTCGGAGATGATGGAGAGAGATTGTTAAAGCATGTCCTATGGTCGAATGGGCCAGAAACCGAGAATCCCACGTTGGGAAATAAACAGAGTGCGGGGAGGGATTTCGTGGTACTCGTGTCTAGACTTTTCTTGGTGGAACTTTTCCGGCGGTTCGATTCATTCGACGTTGAGGTGGCGGCGGCGCCGTTGGGGGTGGCGGTCACAGTAACGTCGTTGAATGGGGCAAGCTTTTGAGAAATGAAAGGGTAAAATCGGAATGTAATTTGACTTCCACCGTTGAAAGTGGCTTTTGATGTCTGGGTCTACCATTTCTATTCTATATTTATCATCGCACTGTGTGGACCGTAGAGTAGTAGACAACAACATTTTTTCTTTTTTTAAGATAAGACTGGTGTTGACAACTTTGGATATTGGATATAACCCATTTTGAACATTGTTATCATGGGGTGGGTTTGAATATGCCGAAGGAGAGAGGAGGATGCACGTTAAAATGATCGGAAGCCACTCAGCCCAAAGTGCCAGGTGCGGGATATAACCCATTTTGGAATGGCATATGTTTTTCAAATTTAATGCTCAGACCCCCGGTGGCATGTCACATGAAGTGGTTTTCCTAAAATTAATGGACACTAAGGTGCAAGTCTCTTTATTAGCATTATTATAAAATTATTTTCCTTATTTAATAAACAAGAACCATTTTTTTTTTCCATCAATAAACAAGAACTTACTACCAAGAAAAATAATTGAGGAGACCCATTAGTGCAAAATTACATTTTACTAACAGTTATAGGGGCCTTATTTCATTGGGTTGAATTTGGTTAAGCTTCCCAAATCCCAACCCTAACCAGTGAATCAAGTTGGGCCTCAGCCCCCTAGTAAAAAATGTCAGTGAACTAAGGCCCAGTCCATCTTCTCTGGATTTCATCTGCAGTTTGCTTTGATTATTGCATGGTGAAATTTTAGAACAAAAAAATGCAAAAATCTTCTCCATCACAGCTGCACTGTAGTATTTGTTTAGTTTACGGGCTAAAAAGGCATAAAAACATGAAGATGATTGTATATTTAGGACGTAATTAGCAATTACTCTCTACTTTCACTCATTTTTCATTCCTACAAAGCCTTTGATAATATAACTATTGTAAATGAAGGTCCTCAGGGTCAGTGAATTGCATTGCTAAGCAAACTGTTTGATGAAGGTGAACTCTGTTCGCTTAGCCATGGATCCTGAACAGAAACTGGCGAATTACCCTTCAATCTCTCCATTGAGTTCGTGCTGCCAATACTACCATGCAACATAAACAAACCCCCACTTTCCTTCTTCAACTTCAAGCTAAGCGGTTGCACACTCACATTCGACGAAGAGGAGGAAGTAGAAGCCTCAAATGAAGCTGCATATGTAATTACTTTAGAAGAAGCCCATCTACTTGCCCTGATTTGCTCCAATTCTGTTGCCACTTCCTTCATGGTAGGCCTCATGTCCCTGTCAAAGGACAAGCACCTGAATGCAATCTCGGCCACCTTGCACACTGAAGAAGACGTCCAAGCATCACTATGTGGCCCTATAAAAGGGTCTATGATCTCATCTAATCTCCCCTTACTGATTCTATCAATAGCAAGAGCTGCCAAATTGACCTCATTTGGGTGTCTGGAAAAGTCTACTGCTTTCAAAGCCGTTATGATCTCAACAAGAACGACCCCAAAACTATAAACATCACTTTTATCCGAAAGTTGGAAGTTTTGCTGGTACTGAGGATCAAGGTACCCCGGAGTTCCTTGAGGGGCAGTTGAAATGTGGGAAATTTCAGTTTTTCCCAACCTGGAAAGACCAAAATCTGCTACTTTGGATAGAAAATTGTAATCCAAAAGTATGTTGCTTGATTTAATGTCTCTGTGGTATATTGGTGGGTCGACAGCAGAGTGCAGATGGGCAATGGCTTGTGCTGTTTCGGAGGCAATTGAGAGCCGAACTACCCAGGGAAGTCCATCACCTCTTTCTCTTTGCAAATGCTGGCATAATGTTCCATTAGGCATGAATTCATAGACAAGGATTTGTTCATCATTGTTGATGGAGCAACCAAGGAGGCGGACTAAATTGGGGTGGCTGACAGAGGAAAGGAGCTTTATTTCATTCATGACTAGTTCAATGCTGTCCATGTCTCTGTGCTTAATCCTTTTAATGGCGACCCACATATCGTTATTGAGTTTTCCAGCATACACTGTTCCATAGGCCCCCGTTCCCAGCCTCTGTTTTTCGGAGAAATTGTTTGTGGCTTTCTCTATTTCTCTATAGGGGTGGATGGGGATGCTGATGCTGACGCCTGTAGCGGCAGAAAGCTGGTGTTTTGAGAAGCTTCTGGATTTTGAAATGGATCTTCGTTTCAATATGCAACATAGTAGGCCTATCCCGAGTATTAAGGTAGTTCCAGCAGCTATGCCTGAGAAATAAACAATGACCAATCTCAGAGTAAGTGTGTATGTTCCCAACGGGAAGTAGAAATAGTACAAGCATATATAAGAGGAGTGTTGGCTTTCTGATCACCTCCAACTAAGGCAGCAACGTTCGGTCTACCACATTTACCAGACAGGTATTTTACCGCCTTGCAATCTGAAGGATCTGTTAACAAAAATCAAGAAAAAAAAGAAGAGGGGGGGTGGAATTTAAGGAAAAAATTCCATACTTAATCAAGAGTAAGATAAGTATTTTCTTCTATGATTACCTAAATGATTTGTATTTTGGCATTCAAAAGTCTTGATTTTTGAATTTGTGCTTGAAAGTGGCCCTTGTGCAGTTTTTTGCTTAAATAAAAATATCAGCTTAAGTCGGTATGAATTTAAAGAATAGGAGGAAGGGTCCATCATATGTATTAGGTGAAACAACTCATCCATGGCATTTTGATCTCTTATTCTCTTATTAAAAGATGAATTAATGCCTTTCATTGTCAGAGTGATGAAGGAAATTTGACCTTTGCTCTAATTGATAATGGTGTTTGACTTGCACTCAACTAAACTATGAAGATGTAATAATATAGTTACTACATGGACGTTTATGTAAATAGTCAATTATATAATATCACATTATAATTATAAACTTACAATATAAGTTAATGTTGTAATTATGTCATTTTTGATAAATAAAAGCATAATTATAATTAAATTAACAGAAATGATAATATTACATGTCACTTGAGATTGGAAACTTTTAATTATGATTATCATTATATCATTGTAGTTAAACTAATGGTCAATTCCCCCATGTTGCCCTTTACTGGTGTCACTAACAAATATTTGTATATCTTTTACTCCAAATCAGCGCATTCAGATTTTTAACTTGGTTTTTCTAGATGCCATACTTTCCGTTCCTAACAGATAATCCAACTTAAAATTAATTGAGAAAACGGAAGGATCGCATCACTTTTCACTTACAACGGACTTGGGATTCTACCACTTTAACAATTATTTATGCCAAATTACGTTGTTTGGTAGAATATGTCCAAAAGAATTCGGTAATTGTAAGAGTTCAGCAAACAGAACTGACCTTTGGTGCAGCCACTACCGGCACGATACCCGTCGCCGATGAAGCCCTCTATGCAGTTGCAACGAAAACCCTGCTGTCCATTTGGTGTGGAAATCAGGTTACAATAGGCATTTCGAGAACACTGGCACTTAACCTCATCAATCCACCATCCAAGCTCCGCAACTCGAACATCCAACGACATCCCACCGGATCCGTTAGACAACTCCGCAGCAAATATCGACGATAGAAAATACCGGCAGTGCCACCGACTCAGGTTATTGTAATTGACAAAACCATTAATTCTGTACTCCGAATAACAACTCATACCATTATCCCTGGGGTTGGAGCTGCAATTCATCATCTCAAAACGAGTTTGCACATTTATGGTGGGGATGGTGCAGGGAACAGACCGGTTTCCACAACCGTACAATAATATAGCATTCCGAGACAACGGGGCGTAGTTCTTGCCGAAGAGATCGTGGAGGGCGTTGAGAGGACGTTTGCATTCAGGTTCGATGTTGATCCTTATGCTATCAGAATTAACGTCGATGACCGGAAAGTCGTTGATCATGATATTGCCGTTTGAACAATTTAAAGGGATTTTGCAGTCGTCGGAGAATCCAAAAGGGTATTGCAACCGCTTGCCGCCGCAGTATCTGTCGCAGTTGGCTGCTTGAGTGGAGATTACCAGAAGAAACATCGCCAAGATCAAGAGAATTGGGTCTTCAAGATTCATGTTTCATCCAAAAAAAAGACAACCGAAGAAACAGGAGTAGTTGCCAGACAGAGGAAACAGAGTAGGGGGACACTAAGAAAATCCAGAAGTCAGGAATTTTGGGGAAATCATGTTTAAAATAATCGGAAAGATGTAAGAACAGATTGACATCAGAGGATACAGGGATTGGAGTTTCTTGCAAGACAGAAACCGGAGTCTGAGGTGAGTGACAACGGAGTTTTTCGCTGTAAGGAAAAGCAGAGAATCAGAGTAACTGTCTATGACTTTTTGTGAAAACAACTTACGTCTTTGATTGATTGGGAATGAGGACAGATAATTTGAATTTTGTTTTCTTTGATTTCACACTTTGATTTTGGGATTTGTTTAAATTAGGTCTTCATAGGGGACAGGATAAGGTAAATTAATGGCACTACATAATTTTAATTAAGTAATTAGTAAAATTGAAGTTAATATTTATTTATTTATTTTAAAATAATTAATAAGAAAAAAATGCAATTAAAAGAAAGTTAGAAAAACTCTTCTTTTTATAATTGTAATATGTGGTACAAGGATTAAAAAATTTCATATCTACCTACATAACACACATATATATATATATATAAAGAAATGTTTATGAAAAGATTTAAATATCATTATAAAATAACAGGCATAAATAGTTTTGTAAGTATTTTTATTTTATTTTTTATAAATCTACTTGAAAAGCATTTTTCTTTATGTGGGATAAACCTAACTTTGAAGTTTGAACTTTAACTACAGTGGAGACAATGAGACAAACTACGAAGAATGGGATTCTGGTTGAGCATTTCTTCTCCCTGGTGTATCTACTTTCTTGGATTCTACACTTTGAGATACCGTCTACCAAACAGATCATTACTTTGACTCTAGACAGAAATTTTCCATTTTCATTTTGTTTTGGGGGTTAGAAGTTAGAACATCTTGCTTTTAAGTATTTAACCATTCCTTCTTAAGGGGTTTTAACTTTATAAGATTTTAAAACTGCAAGCAACATGTCCTAGGCTTCATTTGGCAAATATTTTGTAAAGATTTTTTTTATACAATATTTTATTTAAAAATATAATTTATAATTTTAATTAATATATTATATATTTTTAAAACAATAATATATATATATATAATTATAGCCATAGCACAACATAAAATGTCACTTACAAATGAACCCTTAATCGCAAACCTTGAAATGTGTAAAGAGATTTGGAAAAAGTCATAGGATGTATCAAAACAATAAAGATGTTTACATTGAATTGTGAATTATATAACAAGATCATATACTCATTTAACTTTTCTTATTTGTCTCAAATTTAAATTTAAAGATTTTAGTTATTTGGAGAAAATTAATTTTGCAGATATATGTATTCTTTTTTAATTTAATAGAAACAAATCTGCTTTTTTTTTTTTTGGTTGCATAATGAAAGGCAATCATATCTCATCCCTTATTTCACCCCACTCCCATATCATGGAACTCGAATTCAAAATTTTTTATTTTCAGTGAAAAAAAATAATCACAAAAAATCTTTGACCATCAATAAAGGGGCAAAATCTTTGACATTCCAAATATAAAAGAAGAGTAATATGGAGCATTCATTATCTTTACCAATAATGGATGAAATAAAATCTTGAATTGTAAACTTAGCCACTCTTGATTTAGTCTTGATTTGAATTTGAAAAAATATCTAAAACCATGTGAAAAATGTGAAAATATCTAAAAACATGTGAAAAATGTGAAAATATCTAAAAAACATATGAAAAAATGGCATGTCACGTTAGTCACATTTTATAAGTTTACAATTCCGTATATGATTAATCTTTTTTATTTAAAAATTTATTTATAATATTATATATATTTATGAAAAAAGTTTTTATCAATTTCACTTCTAAAATAAATTAAGATTATAATATTAAATTACTTCATTTTATTTTATTAAAATTTAATTTCAAATTTAAAATTTTATTTTATTAAATATTAATATTAAAATTTAAAAAGGATTATATTAAAATATATAATCATTTTTCAAATCTTAATATCAATATTTAATAGAATAAAATTTTAAAATTAAAATTAAAATTAAAATTAAAATTAAAATTAAAATTAAAATTATTATACATTAATCTTTATATTTATTTATTTAATAATACAGTAAAATTATAGATCTACTATCCTACCTCACATTATAATATTTGTCGTTTATTTATGTAAATTGTGGAATGCTAGATAAGTCAAAATAGTGAATTGTGATGTGGGAGTCTAGGGATGGCAACGAATTGGGGGTTGGTAGGTGGGACCATCCCCGTTGAAGCGCCCGTGATGAATTAGTAGGCCTAGGCCCAGCAAAAGCCACGGCAATTCATCATTCAGTTTCCACTTTCGGCTCTCTTTAATTATTTTCTTTCAAACCATAAAAAAAAAAAAAAAAAAAAAACTTCACATTTGTTCCACTTTTGGCAAAGCAAAATTCTTTGCATTCCATTCTCCACGTTTGCACCATCACAAGAAATCTTTTCTTAGCATTCCTGATCTTCTAAGAGATAGTGAATGGTTAGAGTTTGAGACTTTCAAATCAAAATTTACAACTTGTAATTTTATCAACTCAAACCATGTGTTGAGATGTTCCTTGATTATTAAAAAATAATGAAATTTGATCAATATTCTTATTAGATATTGGTGCAATGGTGGATTTTTGCAATGAACTTGTAAGAAAACTTAGTTGCTACCATACGGTGACAATAAGTATAAAAACAAGAATAACGAAAGAGCAAAATGTAGGCAATTTCAAATATAATTTAATTCATATTTTAGTTAAGAAAAATAATTAGTACACTTTTCAATTTAATATATTTATTAATATCCTTTGATTCAATCATTAAATTAAATATGAAGCTGAAAGTTTTCTTTCATTAAATTCAGATTTAAAAATATTAATTTTTTAAAAAATATGCTGTGAAATGTATTAAAATGAAGATGTGATTAATCATTATTTTTTAGTTAATTTTAAGTTTTTAGTGCTTATATTGTTGGATCTTTCCAAAGCAAATAATGACAATCATTATTATTGTTTGAACAAAATTTTGTCCCTTTCGCAAATTAATTAGTCTCTTAAAGGTCATAGACAAACACTGTGGATTTCACCTAGCATGTCATTTACCTCTTACTCAGACAACATTGATTTAGGGTAAACAAGAATTCATTACAGATTTTGCCCTTAAACTGTAAGGAGTAAAACAAGCCATGTCCATGCGTAAAAAGTGATGATAATCAAGTATGAAGGCCTTTTGAAGCAGCAATAGATACAAGGCAAACGGAATTAAGTTCTGTTCTGTCACTAGGAAGGAAGCCAGTTTGATGAGCAATTCTTGGTAATGTTCATGCGGATTATAAGGATTTGCCTTCTTTTGGTCAAAGACATCATAATTCTTTATTATCCAAAGGTTTGGAAGTTCAATCATTAGCGGGACTAACATGTAGGGTTAGTGGTCATGAGATCAATCACTTGAAGGAGAAGACAAGTTTTTGGTGTGAATGAACTCTCATTGGCCTTAGGGCAATTTGTATCATATTCACTTGATCATATATATGCTTCATGTGTTGTTTTTTATCATTTGTGTTAAATTTTATTAATAAAAACTTAATCGAGTTGATATTTATTAATTTAAAATTTTAATTTAAGGTTAAAGTCAAAAATTAAAACTTCTAAAGAATTAACTTTGATTTCTCAAGAAAAAACTGATGTGCCAATTTTCTAGGATTGATCAGCACACACAATCAACAGTCTTGTGAAATTTAAGAGTTGGGGTTGGAAAGATAGTTGCAATCTATGGAGGAGAAAGATTCCCATTGTTGCGAGTAAAGAGTTGAATTTTGTCAGTTTGTTGAGCTCGAGCCTTGGAGCTTTGGGTTTGGCTGTCTAGGCCCATCTACTAGTCAAGGATCAAAATCAGGATTTGGGCTTAACCGGTTGTAGAATCTCACAATATCATAACAATAATATGAACTAATATATCAGGATGCATCACAAAAGTATGTGTGGCTTTGCACGTTTATTTTATTTATTTTTTTGGTTATATATGAGTAACTTTATTTATAGAGTGGAGGATGCATAATATAAGAAAATAATAAGTAATTAAAATTTTTTTTATTATTGGGATTAAAATTAATATTAAATTCTTGAAATCAATTAATTGATAAATTAATTTCTTATGATTTGATTTATTTTTATAATGACATAATATTTTTTTCTTCTATAATCTAATTGTATTCTTTCTTCTTTTTATATTAGAATTAATCATATTATGATTTGATTTTCTTTACCGGCCCTACCTCAGTGTGTTTTTTCATAATTGTATTGTAATGTCCCTGTTCTGATCTCATTCGACTCGGAGTGGATCATCTTCATCCAGACGCACGTCTTATGCTGTTTTTTCAACACATTTTTCTTTTCTCCGTTTCTTGTGCTAAATTTGCTTGAGACAGGCAATGTAGTGCTTTTGGGCCAAGTCTTGTATATTCGGAAATGGAAAAAAGGAATTTGTGATAAATTATTGTGCTTCTGCCATCCACACCATCTTCTTGCACTCACCGTTTCCATGTCAATTTTGTTGGATTCCACTTCTCCATGCCTAATCATTGATGAAATCGATCCCTATCTATGTGTAAAAAGACAAAGGAAATTCAACATCACTCAGTACGTACCACACAAGACAGGGATCATCATCAAACTATTATTAGAATCAACTGCAATGGTAGGAATGAAATAATGAACGCTAAGGTTAAACTTCGCTCAAAATGATCAAATAAAAGCATTTGGCACAACCCGACGGCACCCCCACATACCAACGGTTAAAACTAACTCACCATCTTTATTACAGCCAATTCCCTTTCTCTAGGAACCCCACGTCTCCAGTGGTGGAGCCAGGGGGTGCGAGGGGAGGCGCTCGCCCCCCTGAAATTTGAAAATCTTGCAAATTAGTGTATGAAAAATTTTTTAACCTCTCCTGAACTTTGAAAACTTTAGTATTTTGCCCCCCCGAAAAAAATTTCTGCCTCCGCCCCTGCACGTCTCATTCTCCTTCCGTGTGTCACCCTCTCACAGCGCCATTCCCTCACCGTCGTTTCTTCCACATCTATTTACATACCCGTCCGTCGTTCGTTTAGGAATCAATCTCTCCCCTCCATTTTTTCTTTGGATGCTTAACATTTAGTGTTTTCTTCGTTAGTTTTATCTCATTCTCTTCAAGATTTTCTTTCACTGAACGAGAGAAGGAGGAGTGTCAGCCATAATGTTCTCTGAGGGAGAGGATAACGCTACCGCACGAACACGATCCAAACTTGGGTACTCCGATCCGAATATCTCCACAAGCATCTGCAATTCCATCTCTGACGATGATTTCTATGTCCGTAACAGCAGTGCCTCGGCCGCGGGCCCCGCCTTTTTCGACCAGAACGACCGGATGAGCTGCGAGGGCTCACCTATGATCATGTCCCCCTGGAACCAAACCTGCCCGTTTGACAAATCTCATCAATGGTCCAGTTTCGAAGATAGCGAGAGTGCCCCGAAGAATGGTTTAATTGGGTCAATCGAACGCGAAGAGGGTCATGTTTATTCCTTAGCGGCTACCAAGGATCTTCTTTACACCGGCTCCGATGGCAAGAATATTCGTGTCTGGAAGAATCTGAAGGAATATTCTGGGTTCAAATCAAACAGCGGGTTGGTTAAAGCCATTGTCATTGCCGTAGTAAGATTTTTACGGATCATCAAGATGGAAAAATTCGGGTCTGGAAAGTCTCTCCTAAGCATCCCAGCGTTCATAAACGCGCGGGAGCTTTACCCACTCTGAAAGACATCCTGAAGAGCTCAATTAAACCGAGTAATTACGTCGAGGTGAGACGGGAACGCTCTGCTCTGTGGATCAAACACTCCGATGCAATATCTTGTTTGAGCTTGAACGAGGAAGAGGGAATTCTGTATTCCGCTTCGTGGGATAGAACCGTAAAAGTCTGGAGAATTTGTGATTCTAAGTGTTTGGAGTCCATAAAGGCCCACGACGATGCCGTGAACTCTGTCGTTTCGATCACCGAGGGGCTGGTGTTCACCGGATCGGCCGATGGAACCTTAAAGGTGTGGAAAATGGAGCTGAAGCGGAAAGGAACGAATCATTCTGCGGTGCAAAC